TCATGCAGGTGCTTTTTAGTTCAAGTGGTTTCCCATTATCAAGCATTTCCAAGTATTTTATCTGTTTTAGGGGGAGATGACGTTTGTGGAACATACAAGGCATGAGGCATGGCCTTTTGGATGACAGTTGCTTGCTGGTTGCCGATCTGTACTATGTGTAAGCCTGAATATGTCTGCTTTGGGCAATATTTCATACTCAGAATTGGGCACGATATGTTTGAAGAACCTACTTTTATATTGCCTGCATAAGATCAGTGTTATTCACCTTTTGATTGCAGCAGATAACATTGTTGGATTAATAACATTTCAAAGGGAAAACATTTTCCTTTTTGAATTGGAACTCACTTTTCCTGAGAGGGATATACAGAAAAAATAATCTAGTGCTGGAGAATTTGTTTTCTAAGGTTATGGTTAGTTAGGCCAATGCCATGTAACCTTTTTATTCTGCACTTCAATTTTTGCTATAGCGCAATGGTGTTGTGGTCAATAAATACGAAATAATTTCAGCAATGCTCCTGAGAATCACATTTCTGTTTACTTACAGCTTTGGTTTAGCCAGTACTGGGGGAGGTTCCTTGGATGGTGATGTTGGCTCTGGTATTTTCATTGGCTGTCCATTTATCTTCTCTGGGAAATGGTTGGGTCTGGTGTGGTTTGTGGCGCCAAGTCCATCCTCTGAGGATGATTCACTTCCTTTTTCATCTTCAGGCAGCTTGAAGTGGACACGGAGCCCTGCCTTGGAGCTGGACCTGGGTTCGTTGTGGTTCACAAGAACACCTTCGAGTTTGGGTTTGGGTGCTTGGTGTGCTCCGTGGCTGGAAGGAGTTTGTGGGGGAGGTTGATGCTCAGTGGCTACAAAGTCGATGGAGCTCGTCGTGTGAAGGGCAGCAGCATTACTACTGTCTTCAGGTGCTGGAAAAGGAAAAGTCAAACCTATGGAATATGTAAATGCCAGAAATCACAGTGAAATGAAATCACAAAAGTTACAGTTCAAAACACTTACTCTGATGTCCTTCCAGCTGTTGCACTGACTTGTTTGACCTTGTTTGTTTAAGAACAAATTCCCTTGAAAAAGGAATATTGTAAAGGTAGAGGGAAAAGGGACACTGTTCCAGTTTGGAAAAATCAATCAGTGGTCTTCAGCCATGTCCCCAGTGAATTATTCCACTACATCTTTGAAACACAAATGTTGTTTTTGTTCCAGAGAATTCTCACACTTTTTTGTTATGAAGAACATTGCCAGAACTTGAGGTGCATTGGAGTCAGCAGTGCACAGCATAAATCACAGCCTGCTCTGCTGTATTTACCAGGAGCAAAAGACTCTAACTCTTACCTTTGACAGTCAGACGAGCTGTACTGGACACTGTGCCATATTTATTGCTTGCAGTACAGGTGAAACTGCCGGAATCTTCTGAAAATACTTCAGCAATAACGAGAGTACAAATCTCCTCTGCAAAGCATCAGAGCAGAGTTAGTTCTTGAAGTGAACATGCAGTGAACAAACACACAGAACCCTGACAACCTTTGGGGAGATTTCCTTCAAGACTTCCACCTTGCTCAGTTTGTTTCTAGTTCCATCAGTATTATCAGTTTTGGCAGTCTTTGTGTGCAGCAGCTGTTATCAGCATTGTCTGCAGCAACTGGTACCCTCTGTGCTCCAGCATGCCCAATGAAAGCAAAGAACAGGTGTCAGCAGTGTGTGGAAAACACTGGAAAATGTTTTCCTAACACATGAAGTACAGACTTAAAAGAACTTAAAATTTTATTTGGAATAATATATAGTGTACTCCACACTCTCAGCTCACTAAAATAATAGGTATTTTTTATCTCTGAAGATTGAAAGATTAATTATAATTGACTAGGAGCAATTGAAGTGGAGTTTCTCTGTGATGGGGATAAATATAAACCACATACATATATGTTGTGGTTTCAAAAATACCAGTGTTGTTTTCAAAAATACCAGTGCAGTGCAGATTTGCAGATAGAAGGGATTGTGCTAACTGTGCTTACAGAAAGTTGTCTTTTGACTTCTTTGTGCAGATGACTAATGGGCATCAAAAATATACTAGCAAAATTGTACTAGAAAAAATTATATTCCATCTAGAAAAGTCAGTCTGGGTTTATCACATTCCTGGCTGACCAGTATCTGACAAATCTGGGCAGCAGTGCCAGCTAGTAAATACCTACTATGATGGGACTTGAAGGTTTTTGGTTTGGCTGCATAGCTGGGAGGAGGAGGAACAGTAACATCTAAATTGAATTTAAATGTGGGCTGATAACATTTCTTCACCTACTCAGTGACTATTTTTCTACAATTTTGCAATAGACTTTCCTAAAACCCTGCAGGATAAATATTCTATGAGTACTTTTGCACACTTAAACTTGATTGTTATCACCAAGGAAAACCCAATAGCAACAAAGAGATTGTTTCCTATCAACTATAGGAGAATAAAGTTTATTATAGTAGTATGATAACAGAATTAGTTTATGGCATTATAATATCTAGATTATCGTGCTGGGATCTGCCAACCACTGCATGCATGGAAATCCACATTCCTTCTGAATGAGCAGCAGGTGATGAGGCTGTGACAACTGCACCCAACTGATTATCCCCTAAAAACTGCTTCACATTACTCAGCAGTGATGCCACTGGACAGTAACAGCACAGTGTTGGTGGCTTCTGGCTCCATTTTTATATTCCTAAATCTCAGACAGAGGCAGCTTCTTTCAAGACTCTTTTTGGGGTAAAAACGTTTCAAATAGGGCAAGGAGAATAAAAAAGTTAATATTCCACAAGAATTATTACTCTTTTGATAATTTTCCATCTTGAGAGGAGTGGCTTCATATTTTTAATGGCAAAAAGCATGATGAGGCGAGTGACTCTCTCATGGAGAAATAACCAAAGCTATAGGGCTCCTCTGCTCCAGCCATGTGAAGTAGCCCACATTCTTCCCTGATCCTTGGTATCAGCAGATCCAGCCACATTTATAGGATTTGCTGATATCAGGGGTGGAACACCTGATGTGGTACTCTCACATTACGCTGGTCGGGAGCACAGGGAATGGCTGACATGGCTGAACATCTGATGCAATGTTCCCTAATGGTAAACTAGATAAAAATAGCTCAGGGCTACCTCATCTTGTATACTTCAGGACCTCAGATATACAGGGGACCTTCATACATTAATTTTATTAATCTTTAGCTCATTTAAATCCTGCGTTAAAACTGGGTCTAAGCAAAGTGGAAATATTTTCTGCAAAAGAGACTGAATTAATTCAAGTTCCATGTTTGTGGAACAGTCTACAGTGAAACGTGTGCCACTTGTAGCTTTAGAACATGAGGAAAAGAAGAAATTATGTTAATTAAATAATGAAGTCTTAACATTTACTATTTTGTGAGGTTAAACCACTATATCTATGTAATGAACAGTTATGAACCTTTGATGGTCCTCACCTGGTTCAGCCATAGATCGTGGTTCTAAAGGGAAGAAGAGCAGAATTATTAGATTTAATATAATTATTTTTGCCAAAATTTATTTTTCCTTAAGCACTAAATATAAAGTTTGACCTTCTAAATATGATGGAATACTCTTTTGATCCAATTTTCTGTTTAAGGGGAGGTGAAGACAGCCAGGCCTTTTACTCAATGGTATGTCAAGGCCACTGAACAATGTGAACACTCATGAGCAGTGTTGAAACTTGGGAATAGGAAATAAATTCTCCAGGTAGCTGGATGGGGTTTTTTTCAGTATTGGCACAATTTTATTTTGTCTTGAAGACAATTTCTGAAACTCTGATCCACATAAAATCAAGATATGAGGAACCATTGTTTCACTTAGGTTTACTTTAGTGTGATATTTAAGGAATTTCTGTTGAATTTTCACAATTTCAGCATTTCAGTGACTTAGAGAAAATTGCAGATGTTCTGACTACATTTGAAAATTAAAATACAGTTGTAATAAGAAATTCACAGTGTTGCTATGTTAGCAATTTTGTTGCTTGCCTGTATTTTATTAGACACAATATTTTCACACAGGAAACATACTTTTCTGCAATATCCTAAAATCTGGAGAGTCTTCTATCAGTGTTCCTTCTCTATACCATTCAACCTTTGGGGAAGGAGCTCCTTTCACCCGACATTCAAAAACAACAAGCTGCCCCTCAGAAGCTGAAATATCCTGTAACATCTATTAGAGAAAATGAATAGACAGTCAGTAAATGTCTTAATGGTCTGGATGTAATACTGATTTCAGTAAGATTTAATAAAGCTACTTAAACCCTTGAATGGCTTAGGAAAACCTTTTTTTTTTTTTTTTTTTTTTTTTTTTTGAGAGCTCATTTTTAGTTATCTCTCTTTACAGTTATCTGACCTCTACTTTTCAAATATGTCATAGAAGAAATTACCTTTGTAAATACAGGAGCAGCAATTATAGGTCTTCCATCCAGTCCTTGCAAATAGTTAGTGGGGCTTTGAGCCTGTAGATTGCAAAACATCACAAGATGATGTTTAGGTGTGCAGACCTTATTTTTCACATACAACAGAAAAGTGCTTTTGGAATGACATAAAAAAGATGTTGATGGATGAAGTCCAAAGCAAAATACCTAATGCAATGAACAGAAATTCTGTTGTGGACAACTGCTGGTGATCTTCCTGGATGGGATAACAGGAAAAATGCTGTTAATACTTTATTGCCTTACTCAGTTAATCATAGCAAGAAAAGCTTTAGGACAGTGTATTGGAACATCTGTGGGCTGGGTGGCTGCCAGGCTCAAAGCTGCAGTTCAACAGCAAAGCAAATGCTAGAAAATCTGGGGTTTTCGGTCACAAATTGTAGAAGAAACACTTTATTAAGAGCTTGCTCTTAGTCCTTGAAATTCACCATGATGTCCCCCCTACCTGTGTGGCTGGTGTTGACACAGTCTGGACAAGTACAGACACAGGCTGAACCTCAGCTGATAGTGCCTTGGAGGTTTCTTGGTGCTTGGTTGCAGTTCTGACAGCAGGAGATGCTGAATTCACAGAGGTGTTGGCTGGCTTTGGTTTTCTGTGAAAAATTAACCAAGAACAAGTTCTCTAACTCAAAACTAGAGCTCTGTGTGTGTCCCTAAGTCATATCTGTCTCAGTCACATGTCAAGCCCAGCCTCACTGCTGGGATTGAATTCCTCTGGATCTAAGCTGATCTGCTCTCCTAGGTAAAGCTGCATTTGGTATGTCAGCCTGCATACGCAGCCACTCTAAGATCTCATCCTTGCTTCAGCCACACCAAATGCAATCAATGGCCTGGCTTAACCCAACTGTGGCTGCTGCTGGCTCAGAGCAGCATGAGAAAGCAAAGCTGCTTCCACAGAGGACACTGCTGGTTGCTATTTTGTGAAGAGTTGGGCCTCTAAGGTAATGCAAATACCGTGGTTTGCTTGGATACAGATTCAGTAATTAATTGCTGAAAAATAAAAAAGAGACATGCTTTCTGACCAACATGTCATCAATTTTGCTAGTGTACAGATTGGCACGAGTTGACCCTTTTTCATTTTATTGCTAGGTGAAATAAAGCAGACAGTGAGCAGGTGGTCTTTTAATTCAGTTTGAAGTCCCCCCAGGAAATCTAGCCTTCAAAACAGAGGATGCTTTACTCAGAGTGAACGTACAACTGTTGTGATCACTGATTTATCTTTTGAACTTTTTTTAGCACCTTGTCTCATATTGACTCCCTTTAGTTACAGGTATTCAGATTGGTTTGATGGCAGCTGGAAGCTAAGCAGAAATGAAGACATTCTTACTACACCCAAACCTGGTCTTTCATAATGTGATCATTTGAGGACATCCCACTGTGATGTCAGAGCAGCATTCTGAGAAAAAAAATTACCTCACAATTTGATCAGGTAAGTGATTTAGAGATATCATCAAGTGATCAGAATCATGGTCAACCCTACATTGACACCTAATGAGATTAATGTGGAAAAAAAAAAGCCTGTGACATTTGGACAAGCCTGAGCTAGAATGGAAAACTTCACAATTCATCCCAAACTGATTAGCAGTATATCCCAAGTCTGAGACTTTCTTGACCTTAAGTTTTATAAAGCCCCTAACATTTATCAAAGTCCATAAACCAATTCCATCTGGAGTACTTTATAACCTTGAAGTTTAAATTGCATACAACAGGATTTGCTGTCAGCCTGAGGTCTTCAGTCAAATGCACTGCAAATGTCTTCTCTTTGCATTTTAAAAAAATGGCATTTGTAATGAGTGTAATTCTCCTTAGTGATGGAAAAAACCAACAGGGTGCATAAATCTATCTGATTAGGGCCTCTTTTATCAAGCATTGCTTGCTTTTGATGTTGAATCTGTGCATACAAAGGAGTTAAAAATAAAAGACTGATTATTTTAGTTTTCAACCAGTCTGACTCCCTTTCTAGTTAATAGAAGGATTTTGATTCTGAAAGATTTTTAACAGCATTGGATCAGGTTCTAAATCATCAGGAGATGGATTTCATTTAGGAAAAATAAACATTTCCCAGATTTTAGATTACATCTGGCATATTTTCTCTTTAAGTAATATTTTATACTATCACTTTAGTTCACTCTAGTGCATGTCTAATAATTTCTTTACCTTAAATCTGAATAATTAATCTCTACCTATATTCTGCCAAAAACCTTGTGTGTTTTCATGTGAGAAACTGTACTGCATTCTTTGTCAAGTCAGACACTTAAATCAGCATTTAAGCTGATCTAGTCAAATGGCTTTTGTTTTAGTAAATTAATTTTAGAATTTTTTCAATCTTTATGGTAACATATTTCCTTTTATATTAATATTTAATAATAAAATTTCGATTCTTAATCCAAAGTTGAGGACACAAAAGCAAACAAATGTTTGTTCCATACTATTTGTAAAGCAAACAAGCACACAAACAAAATACAACCCACCAATCCAAACTAAACTTAAACAGAATGATGTCTCGAAAGCTGCAAACTAAAATGTCTGCACTTGTGAGTTTTTTAACTATAAGAAATATGGAAAGTGTAATTGATTTTAAACTTACTGATCCATTTCGTCTTTGATAATTTCACCTTCAGAGTCAGAAGAAGAGATGCCTGTCGAAAAAAAAAAATCATTTAGTAGAGAAGTTTTGAGTTTTTCTCTGAATGATACAAACCTTTATTCAGATTTCCTGTAGACCACTCTATGGGTATGTGTTACAAAGCTGTGCCCAGACCAAAGATCCCATTGCAGGAGGAGTGAACCACGTTCCATACTGTGCAAGGTGCAGAACTGCTGTTGGGATAAGGCAGATTTGGGAGGAGTAAGGAGAGCAACGTTCAAGAGTGAATGAGTTCCTGGGTGTTCCTTGGGTTCTTTTTCAAATGCCACTATGATTTAGTCCGTATTTGTTGTGAATCAAGTATGAGCTTTCTTCTCTCAGACACCTGATACTATCAGATATAAAGGAAAAAAAAGAGACCTGGAATTGTAGCTGTTATTCTCCAGCTAGTGCCTTGTACCACGATGTGAAGAAGGTACTTGCTCTTTTTACTAACTGCTGTCACTTACTGAGACATTTTACACTTCTGATTCTGCCTTCGCTGTCTTGGAATTTGCATTTTCTCTGCAGTTCCTGCCAGTGAGCATCTCCATCAGCCATGGCTCCCATCCAGCACCCACTGAGCTGGGTAAAAGCAGACCTTGGCCCCTGCCTTGAGAGTTTGTAAATGCCTGCCAAGCATAGACATCTCCCATTGATGTCAGGGGCAGTGCTGAAAAAGGATTTGTCCTTTCACTGTCAAATTAGAGTCTTGGAAGAAGAATAACAACAGAACTCAATTCATCTTTTGGGCAGTGCTTTAATTTATGAATGGCCCCACTGTGCTCAGTGATGGTGCTCACAGTATGCTTCTCTGAGAGAAAAAGAAAAAAAAAATCCTATGTGTTTAAGTTTATAGTCATGCTAGCACAATAATGGATTCAATCTCAAATCTCACCCAAGAAAATGTAAAAAAAGAAATATAATAAATAGACCACTCTTAGGCCTACTAGGTACACTAAAAAGCATAAGGAGAAAGAAAATATACCTAAATCTCCAAATATATATTCTGTTTGATTTACAGCATCTACTGGGCATGTAGAATATAAAATTGATGGCATATTTCTTTCGATTACAAGGTCACAAGAAAGAGTTTAGAGGAAGCTGTCCTACATTCAATTTGTAATAATGACTGTAGGGAAAAGGGATTAATAAGAATTAGACACAAAGTTTCGTTTCTTACACTTCTGTAGAATTCCACAGATGAAAAAATACAAGGTAGTTTCAGAATCAGAATATTTTTAGAGTTTGATATTGCAGTGAGATATGAAATCTCTGGGAAGTAACACAATAAAATGTAAGGGTTGGTCCCTTGTCTGAAGAGTGTTTTACACAAAAATAATAATGATATTAGTAATGATGGAAAGTGTTGACTCCTGCTATGGTTTTCTTATGACAAAACTATCACAGTTAGCAAACAAGATACATAATTATATCTTAATCCTATGACCAGTTTCAACCATCAGTTTCTGCAACACTTGTAACATTACCTTCTATGTAAATCTCTGCAGAAGTGGAGTCTGTCCCATAGATGTTGGAAGCAAAGCACGAGTAACGCCCCGTGTCCTCCTCAAAAGCTTCAACAATGATCAGAGAGTGTCGGTCACCTGTCTGGATAATTTGAATGTCAGGTGAGTTTTCAAGCTCCTTCCCTTCACAGTACCACCTGCAAAGCAAAAAGAAATTGTTTTTCAATGCAAACAAGTTGATGACTAGGATGATAATGTTTGAAGTTTTTCTGATGATAAAATTGGTAGGTTTAGCCTGAAGGTTCTGACAAAGTACTGCAGGTAAGTGTTGAATCAACAGTCACAGGAATAAAATATAGATGATTTTCATAATAGTCAACAAAGAGTAAAAGAGCTCTGAATTTGGAACACTGTCAACCCAGCTCTGAATTTCTCTTGAGGTACAATCAGGCCTGTGTAGTGGCTTAATGTGCAGCAAAACCCACACAACTCTTAAGTTAACAAATAGCCCTCAAACTTGTGTTTCTTAAGTTTCTGTTAATTTAGAATGTGACTGAAATTTGTCTTTGTTTTGTCATATATTTAACGTAATCTGCTTTTTATAAAAGATGGCAGAAGGGTATCACAAGGTAAGAGAGTTGATCTATTGCAATAGGTACTTGCACACAGAAACAGCCAGTGAGGCAGCTGTGCCTGGAATGCTGTTCTGCACGATATTGCTGTGTTCCTCTTCAAACACTGCTACATATCCAAGAATCTGTTGGGCCCTCTAGAGCTTTCACACTCTCAGCTCAGGCATTCCTAAGTCCCTCAGCGTTCAGAAGGGTTGTTTCAGTGGAAAATGCAGGAATCCACCCAAAAGGAAAGCAGCACCTTCACAGAGAGCTCTAGAGGATGTGTCACGGGCAGTAACCACCAGCTCACTCTGAGCTAGGAGGAGGGGAGGGCAGGACTGATGGATGCTGGTTACAAGGCAGAACAGAAGCACACAAAGCAGGTGGGTCTGCAGAAACAGATTCAAGTTAAATCTAGGCTTTATAAAGAAAATGTAGTGTTGCGTATCAAGATCCAGAGTTAAATGTTTGAGATAATATTCAGAAATACCTGTAATTATGGATAACTAGCTAAATTTGAAAAGCCAAACTTAACTGCATTCATTTTCACTGTAACTTCTCTCATGAAGATTGTAGATGTATAGATAGACATAAAATGCCACTAAAGTATTTGTATTTTCTTACTGTGACTTTCTTAATTACATGTGATTAGCTACTGCATTGTATGCATGTGAGGGTGGGAGCTGTCATACTAGCAATATTTTTTATTCAATTGACTTTTAAAGAATTAGTAATCATTTAATCTGTCTGTTATGGTAACTTGGTAAAAGAACCTGTTAGCATTTGACTGGTACTACAGAAAACAAGATTGTGGAAAGGAAAGAATAGGTTTGCAAGTAAGAAGTTGTAATAATTAATATCTTCTGTCTTACACTATAAGGTACTTCAATGCATTTCCATCTCAGATATTTTAGAAAAACATGAATAAATAAAATTTTTTGATCACCCAATATCAGAACTTTTTAACAAGTTTGTGCTACAAATTAAGCATGGAGAAAACCCCAAATTAATATATTGAAAAAAAATATCTCTAAGCAGTCCATATGAGCAAAAACCCAGACTATAACAGAAGTATAATACAGAATTGAGGAAGGAGCCTCAAGGAGTCTCTGAGGTATGGAGGAATACAGATCTAGCACTTAAATGCTGATACTGTAGCTGAGCAGAAGAGCAGACCCTATTTGTGCCCATGAGTCTGATCCATCCAGCACAGCTTTCTCACAGCAGACAGGGAATTCCCTGCATTTCATTCACACCAGAGGTGCCCTGAGCTGCCTTCTGTCCGTGGACACTGCCTAGGACTGCACTTTACTCCCAGTAGCTTTCAGCAGCCACTCACGCTGTTTCCCAAACCTCAGTGGAGCTTGTTGGAGATGCAGACAGTGTTTTGGCCACCAACCAAACCCATGGAGCATGCAGCACCTTTGGAAGGTGGAGAGGCAGCTGTGCTCTCACAAAAGGGAGCAGTAACAACAGCACAAATCCAAGGATGCCAGGTGAGCTGGCACATGTGGAAGGACGAGGAAGGAGCCCCTGGGTGTTGTGGCTCAGGTTACAGATCCACCTAACCCAGCACACTCTCCTGCCAGTGGCCCAAAGCAGGCACTGAGGGGAGGGTGTAAGAACAGAGTGAACATATACGTGTGTGTATTCACTTATTGCTCTGGAGTGTGTAACCAGAAGTTGAAGAAACTTCTTTCCCAAGGTGCGAAGCAGCACTTAAAAATAATTCTAAAAATGTGAAATCACTGGTCTTAAAATCATAATTTATAAAGGACCTCTCTCTTTAAGGATTTCATGATCCCAGTACCATTATCATTATTTTCCAATAGATTAGGCTTTATAGTTTCTTGCTAACATTTATTTTGAAAATACTAATCTTTATTTATGTTAACTTTATTTTGAAACTATTGGTTTGCATTTCCGTTCAAAATATGTTTCCTTTAAAAATAACTATCTTTCTACCATCTTCTGGTTGACTTTTAGTGGTCTTATTCTGTCACAGATCTGTCAGATACTCTAAAACAAAACTCTTCAAAGAGAAGAAACAACTACATCTATTTTAAACTTTGCCCATAATGGCTTGCCCAAATCTGGAATTTTTACCACTAATACTTAGATACAAAGGACTTTTTTGGTCTGGTTCCCCAGAAGTGAGTGTCACATTTTCTTTTCTGTTCAGTGCTGTCCTCACACACGTGTAGGTACAGACACCACAGCTCGTAGTTGGCATCCAGAACACAAACCTCCATTGCCTGGGATAGATGTACAACCCTACCTGGAGCCAGTAGAGGAAATATTTAGCAGTCCCAAGGGAGAAGTATGGTAATGTGCATTACAGGGTCGATTGAAAATATCCTTTGACAATTATTAGTGCCTTTTCAAGTTCCAGACTTGGGAATTATATAGGATTCCTGTGATACTGAAGGGAGAATTTTTAAAAATTCTCTTTACATTATGGTTTATTCTATTGTTGTTCTCAAGAACTGCAGTTAGTCATCATTGAAAATGTTCACATCAGGAGAGAGGGTTCCTGCAGTTGTGTGACTACAGGCACAAATTTGGTATATGAATGTACAAGTTGCCTTTTAGGTGTGTAATTCATGCAGGCAACTGTGTACTTTGAGACATGAGTCATGGCACTTACTCATGTCTTTTTATATACCTACCCCATGCCTCTTCCTTATATTGTAGCCTTGTTTGAGCGTGTGAGCCTTAGCAGATATGAATAAGCATTCAAGAGAATACCCATGCTCTAGAATTTGATTTCATTTCCAGCAGCATCTTTTCAGAGCATTAAAATAACTTGCATAGTACAGTGATATTCTATTTTTGTGTCCATTTAAATGTGTTTCCTTACTGAAGTGGCACACTGGGCAAAACACATTACACGAAATGCTGTGATATAATTGCCATTAAGATAGAATTGACTCTGTTACTGATCAGCTTTTCCAATTAACCTGTTGTGTTTGTGTGGAGTTAAGTCTGTATCATACTTTTTGTGAGGTGCAATTTAATTTTCCTATAAGCAAATTTTAAAATACCATGTAAGCTAATCTTTACACTTCTGTTTTTAGTATACAAGTATTATATTCCTTAAGTAGACTCAAACTGTGAAGCAGGATTAAGTTAATTGGTTTTTTTGCATTTATTTTTTCCTTTGGTTAGTCCCAAATTTGTAGCATCAGTAATTTAAAACTTCAGGAATAAACTCCTGTTTCAAATCTGTGTTTAGTTCTCTATGCAGTGTGTTCTGTAGTCACTCTTTTCAGCATAATGTTCAAGTATTTTAAGATTAAGTTGGAAAAAGGAGCACGTTGTGTGAACGTTGTCTTGATGTAATGCTTTTAAGTCAAAGCAATGGTCTGCTGTGAAGTTAACTTTGGTATGGTGTATCTACTCCTTCCTTGTTAACATTTGATTTTATACTTACCATGAAAACATCGTACATGGTAGCAATGAAATGTCAGCTCCAGGGGAGCTCTGACATTGAGATACGTGGCATGGCTGAAGTAGCAATATCTGCCACTGACATTTCACTCCTGCCATGGATTGCAGCGAGAGCTTCCTCATGCGAGGGAGGCTCACATTCAGCACAGGCAATGTCATCCCCTGTGCCAAATTCATCCTAGAGCTTAATCCATTGACTTGACTGGAGCTGAATGTAAGAGAAATTTGGCTGTAGACTGAGCACTAAAACAGAGAAATGCTTTCATTTGGCAGCCAGGAAGAAAAATCCTAATTAATCTTGCAGAGTCTGAGTTTCTAAAAATATGTGATTAGTTGCAAGTGTGGTCTGTTCAAACAAAGCAGCATAAAATGCAGCTTTTAGGTTTTGTATGCCTATGTTAAAGAATGTTTTCATGGAAACCTTATGACATACAGCCTGTTTTTAGAACATTAAATCCTCATGACACTTCCATTATAGCCATGTATGCCAAACCATGCAATGTGATTCATCAGTAAAATTAACCTAAGAGTGATGTTCCAAACATGTTTGGAAAAATGTAGACACCTCTGAACCTGAGGAAAAAAGGAGTGCTCTCCTCACAGAGGGGAGTAAATGTCACACCTACCATTGCTCATAGAGAAGCAGAGCTGTAGAAGGGAGCGTGAGAAGGAGGTCATCAAACACTTTGGAAATACACCACACATTTCTCTCAAAGGTTTGTTTCTAACCCACAGTGCCGTCAGAACAAAGCAATCAGCAGGAATTGCAGTAGTGCTCTTTAATTGCCAGCTAAGGTGTGAGCTAGCTGGAGGCACACATTCTGTGGTATCAGTCTGCAGCTGATGACACTGAAAAATTAGTCACTTCTCCCAGAAATTTCTAGATGGGTTGGCCAAATGAGCTTCCTCTGAACTGTGGGCTTGTTACATTAAGGCTGAGTTATCTTTAAAAACAATTGGGCAGGTCGTTCTCAATTCAGCCAAGAGGACTTAACTTTCCATGTCCTGGTGTTTCAGATCAGTTCCCCATTTCATCTCTTGCTCCACCATCCAGTATTTTTTTCCCTCAGCGAGCCCTGGTGCTGGATAGTTACATAT